CACTCGCCTGCCCTGACGCGGAAGGGTCCAGGCGGCGAGGAGACGAGATGATTGTGGCGCTCGACTGTAGGTCCACAGTTCGAGTCCCGCTGGGCAGGGGCTGGCCGAGAGGGGAATTGGGAGGATTGCCGCAAACCGCGACCACGGCCGACCTCCACACTTCCGGGACTGTCTTGTGGCAGTCGGCCCGTCCCCTGCAGCCACACGCGGTGGGAGGTACATGCTGGAGGCTGGCCAATCAGCAGTCGTGCCCTCGGTGCTGTCTCCACGATGACCGTCACGTGTCTTCATCCCAAGCGCCGGAGGCTGTCTCGTAGACTGCGCCAGTCGGAAGAAGCTAAACGACACCTTGTGGTGTGATTGTCCTGTGAATCTGCTCTGCATGCACTTGCATACGAAATGAGAGTCGTCACGGCAACAGGGTCATGTTGAAAGGCACCAAGTCAAGAAGGATGTTGGCGCACATTCCATTCCGTTTGAAGAGATGAGAGGCTCGGGCTCACAGAAAGTCGAAAGGAGGTTTTCATGAGGATGGGACGGCGAGCTGGTGAATTCCGGTTGACCTTACGTCCAAAATGCGACGGGCATCGGCTAATTCGTAAGTAAATAGGGTTTCGAGACTACCATTAAATCAGTGTAATGAGATGTATTCACACTATTTCGTGTAAGCTGATGAAGAACTGGTAGTAGAATTTTCCCACAATGATATCAGTTGAGCTGACGATTCCATTAAAATTCCACATATTTTTCGAATTAGGTATTGTTTTCGTGACTACCAGTAAATCAGTAGTATGAGATATATTCACCCAATTTCGTTTAACGTGATGCAGGACTCGTAGAAGAAGAATTTTCCCACAATAATAAGAGTAGAGCTGACGTTTCCATTCAATTTCACATAGCGTTGCTTTCCCAAAAGTTGTTTTCATTCCAGCTGGAGTAGACTGCAGTTTCGACCTCGCATCGGTCTTATCAACACCCTCAGCGGGACTCGAACCGTGACAGTGCAGGA